TACCCTTTACTGTGAGAGACTTAGGAGTCTAGAGTAGGTCTGGATTCTATACTGACATTCTGATATAGGAATAATATCAGGACCTCTATTACTGAGACATTGTAACTCCCAACCTGCTAGGTGGCTGATATGCTGATTTCATGTTCTCTAGAAATAAAAAATGAATTCTAGGAACAACAGAGGTTAAGATTAGGAATATTTATTGAGGAAGAGAGATACAGCTCCTGAGATGCAGGAGAGGACCCAAAAGTGGGTTGCTAAGGACCCCACTTATCAGGGAAAGTTTTATAGAGCACAATCACATGAGTGCAATGTGGGTTACAGCTATAGGCAGCCAATATGATCATAATTATAGCTGCTTAGGTAATATTGATCCAATGCAGAAGCAAGTCACATAACAAGTGACATAGAAAGAACAAGGAACATTTTAGGAAGTGATGAGCCCAAGAGTCTTGGTCACCCACAAGATGACTGATGTGTATCTGGACTTCATTAACAAGGTGTTACAACTTATCTCTGGCCTTGGTGTTCTGTCTTTATCTTGAGACCTGGTCTCTAAAAGATGTACCTCTGGCCACAGTTATAATGAGTTTTCATCTTTGCTTTGGCTCTCTTGAAAGCCCAGCCCTATCTGACTGCCTATAATTCTACCTAGCTTAGCTGTCTATAATAGTGTCTGAGTATTAATTGTGGCAGGAGAGAATCTCTAATGAGGCTTCTACCCATTACAGAAAATGCCTCTTGCCATTTTTCTCTGTTCTGATAGAGGGAACCAGTGCCTCTTGTCTTTGGTGCTTTTACACGCAAGTGCTTATTTTATAGGACTTTGAAATCTCTAACAGCAAATAAAGAAAAGATTAAGGCTGCAGAAATTTATAGACAGGGACAGAAAAAAGGGGAAAAAGACAAAATATGCTTCAGAGGGCGAGGGGTTAAGGAAATGCTACATTCAGAGGGTAAAGGTTGATGGAAGTAGGGAAGAAAAAGTGAAAAGCCTTTAGCTGGACTTACCACAGTCATTGCTCCTATAACTCTTACCTCCTGACTGACTCACCAAGAGAAAATATCACTAAACTGGGTCTAAGAGGTTCCCAAAGCTAAAATGAAGAACTTAACCCACTAAACATAAAATGTTGGAAAGTTCACTGACTCCTATCGTGGAAGAAGAATTTTCAGGATGCATCAAAAAGAGGCACAGGAAGAGTTTATTAATCAAAGATTTTAGTACTCAAGAGTGGAGAGTGGATGCTCAGAGAAATGAGACAGTATGAGCTGGAGGTGGGTATATTTATAGGGCCTTAGGGGAATTTTCAACATGGGGTGACCTAGGATATAAAGTCCTGCTGTCTGTCAGGTTACACATTTGGCTGGCTATGTCAGAATATAAATCATTTACAAGTGATTGAAGTTGAGGTATGCTGCCCAATAACATTGCTGCTTCCCTGAGAATGGAGAAAATACGATTTACAAGTGAAAAGGGTGGGTCCAGAGCCAAATTTATTGTGTTTTTAAGACCTTTAGGATGTATTCACAGATAAAAAATGGCACCCTCATGATCTAATCACCTATCTGGGCCCTATCTCTGAGAATTGCTGCATTGGGAATTAAACTTTCAAAACATGAGTCTTTGGAAGAATATTTCATATTTAAATCATGACAAAGTCTCAAAGGGCAAGTCAGGAGGAAATGTCTAAGGAAATTTCTCTTCATTCCATTATAGAATATTTTTATTAAATTTGTACCTAGTGCATTGTCTTTGAAAGGTAAAACAATACAGAGAATGTCAAAGCCCTTCCCTGAGGTCACTGTAGAGACGGTGTGTGACACCTCAGCTATGTTCTAGATGCACATTAGTGTATGTGACTTTTAGACAACAAGTTCTGGTTGTTTTCACCAGAAATATGTGTGGAGCCAGTGTGAGGCCACATGATAGACACTGAAACAAGATAGGCTGTCAGTTTGAGGGAGGCCTGAGCAATTTAGCAAGACTCTGTCTCAAAATATAATTTGTAAGAAAGATAGGGAAAAGTGTATAGTAAGTGTTAGAGTACTTGCTTAGCATGATCAAGGCCTGAGTCAATATCCAGGACCACAAAAAGGAGACAAAAATGGAGAAAGTTCAAAGAATACAATAAACACAAGCACAAGTCCTGCTCTATAATCTTCTATGATAACTTGTGGACAAAGAGCAGCAAGAGATTTCTCTATACTCAGGCAGTTCTCTCATGATATGTTCATGTTGGTGTCTCCGCCTCTCCTGAAACAGTGCACTTTCTTTCTCAGACATCGTACCTTCAAAAACCTTAGACATCTCTCAGGACACTGAAAGCTTTGGGCTTTCTGGACAACACATAATGATGCTATTTAGGGGGTAGAACTTTCCATAATGGCCCTAAAAAACACCATTCATCTTCCTCAGGACCTCTGACCTCTTGGTCTGATTGCTGTCTTAATAACACTCCAGGCATTCTTACATGATATAAGAATTGAGAAACTACCAGCTAAGGCTACATTAAACCTATGAGTCAGTTGTTATGCTTCCTGGCACCTGTATTTCAAATTGAACAGAGAACTCCCTGCAGCTAATTGCAGATGTATTCAGTGCCATTTCCTAGTTCTATCTCCAGTCTTATGGTCTCCCTACTCTTGTTTCCATCTTCTTTCCCATCAAATAATTTATACATTGACTCAGCATATATTTGTACATATAGGTCTATTCTTTCTGCTATGCCAAAATCTTGGCGCTAAGTTTAGAGCTCACCAACCAGTTCTTAGATCTGTTTTCTATTTCTCTCTCTCTCTCTCTCTCTCTCTCTCTCTCTCTCTCTCTCTCTCTCTCTCTCTATTTCTCTCTCTCTCTAGTACCAGGAATCAAACTCATGACTGCACACTTGCAAGGCAGGTGCTTATGCCACTGAGCTAAATCCCCAGCCCATTTTTTCCAAAGTGATTCCCTTCAGCTTGACTGAATTTCCTTCAGCAGAAATTCTTAAAACTCTTTGTTGCTGAATTTAATTTCCTAAGAAAAAACAAGTGTAAATGATCCTGGGTTCTTATGAATTTGAATCTTCTGAAGTCCTGGAAGGGTTGCTAATGCTCATAAATGTTGTTACTGGGGCAAGTGAGACTGACCTAGTTCTCTTAGCTATCATCTTGTTTGAGACATTGTTTAGAAACACACTAGTTTTCTACACTTCTCCAGGGAATACTCTGAAAATCTAACCCTTCCCTCATTCCTAAGTTACAACCTGCTCTTGTTTACTACCTATTCAAAGACACATGAGGTATTTGAAACTCAACTTGAAGTGATCCAATTGGCATTAACCACAATGTATGGGTGGAATATCAGCAAAGAGGCAATTGAAAGGGAAATTGCCCTAGAAGAAGAAAAACAACTATAAAAGAATTGGGGGGGGGGGGCTGGGGATTTAGCTCAGCGGCATAAGCTCCTGCCTTGCAAGTAAGCAGTCGTGAGTTCAATCCCCGGAACCAATAAAAAGGAAAAAGACAAAAAAAAAAAGAATTTTTTTTAAATAAGGGACTTTCTATTTTTTAAAAAAAATGGGACACGGAACATGTACCTAATAAATAATTTAACCAAAAGATCTGTGATTAGATTTACTTTTCTAAGGATAGGAATTTCAGTACTCAGTTTTTCCTATGCCTATTCAGATTTTCTTAAAGAAGTTCTTTTGCAAAGTATTAATCTGACATGGATAGATTCATGTAAAACCTCCAGTTAGGGTATTGATTTATCTGTAATAACAGAATCAAAATGGGAGAGGCTTAAATAAGGTAAAAGTTTATTTCTCTTTTGTATAATAGTCTGAGGTATAAGAGTCCTGAATTTATATGTTGCTCCACAATCATGGGTCCCAGGCTCTTTCTTCCCCACTGGTTTGTCACTTTCAACATGCAGCTTCTATCTCATACTCTAGCTGCTGCACTTACATTCATATTCCTGCTAGTAAAAAATAGGTAAATAGAAAAGAAGGAATTTTTCTTCCTTTGAAGGACATGGCCAGAAATGGTAAGTGGAAGCCTATCACTTCACTTCCATTCCAGTAGTAGAATTTAATTAAATGGTCACCATACCTAGAAGCAAAGGAAGCTAGGTTACACAGTATTTAGGCAGAAATGTGCCTCTAGAGAAAAGTATATTACTGTGATGAGGGGAGGATAAAATATTTGGCATAACTAGGCATCTGGGCCAGATAATGTAAGAAGAAATCTTATCCATAGTTTAGCAATGGGGAGAGCATTGGTCAATAAAGCATGTACAAATTAAGACATTACACTCGAAATAATCTTCGTTAGAAGATTCATTGGAGAGGTTAATTAAAGTTTATTCTTTTCTACCAGGAGAAGACATCACAGTCCTTAGTTGAACTATGGTGTAACTATTGTGTGTTCTGAAGTTTCAAAGAAGCATATGAAGAAATAGTTTCATGATTTTATTTCACAAGAAAGTAAAACCACATAATAGAGTTGCCTACACATTTCTCAACCCCAAAGTGTTCATATTACCAAAGCCAAGCTGTATCCAATGTGATAAAAAATAGGCAGAGTGGTCTCAGAGAACTCAATTTGTCAAGTGATAAGAGGGATTCAAGTAGAAGTTATTAGAGAACCTGCAGGATCAGTTTATAGAATTGGTTTCCTAAGGATCTACCAACTCTTCAGTCATTTGAAAATAATGAAACCGTGAAAGCTCTGTCCACACAATGGCTGTTAAGGCTGAGATCAGGGTGTAAAAAACTCTCAGATTGTTAGAAAAGTATTTTCAGTGCTTCTCTTGGGAATTATACAGCAAAGGAAGGAGCAGTTGGCATTTGGGTGTCAAAAAATTAAAGATACAAAATTTTCAACATAGGAATAGTGTAGGTATATAAGGGAACTGTATACTTGCTGGCAGAAGCACCCTGGCTCTTTGAGATTCCTTGTCAGTTGGTTGAAAAAAAATCCTATTCCTGGCCAAGTAGAGTGATGGTAGAAAAGAACTGGCCCTGAATCAAGGCTGGCAGCTTCCTGATGCTGACGGTTTCAAACAGGAACCTAAAGAGATGTCTTTTTATGGTTTATTGGCCATTTTAGAATTTGGGCAGTAAAATAGTCAATTCATTAGAAAGAAACAACTTGAAGCAACCCCTCTTCCCATGGTGAGCGGCTGTGAGTGTGGCAGGCTCTGCTGGCCTAGGACAGGACCCACCAATGTTAATTGGGACCTGTGCCATGCTGGGACCTGGAGCACCGGGAGGCCAAGCAGCCCCTCCCCACCCGGTGAGTGGCTCTGAGTGTGGCAGGCTTCAGCAGCCCAAAATGGAGCCACTGGAATTTACTGGGAACCAGGCCATGCTGGGACTTGGAGCTCCAGGAAACCAAGCAACCCCTCCCTGCTGCCTGTTTTATTTTGTTCAATTTCAATATACATTAAAGTATAAACAGCTATTTTGAAGAGAATGAGAGACTCTATAACAGCCATAAGTGACTTCCCTATTTTCTGGTTTTGAAGACAAAAAATGCCTTCCTCATTCTGTTCGGATTAGGTTTTGTTTTTTTTTTTTTTTTTTTGTCTTTTTCGTTTTTATCGGTACCAGGGATCAAACTCACGACTGCCTACTTGCAAGGCAGGTGCTTATGCCGCTGTGCTAAATCCCCAGCCCCTTCGGATCAGTTTTATACTATGTTGTTTTGTATGAATTCTCTGTATGCAAAGACATGGACAGCTATTTGGAAGAAAACAAGAGATAGTATGATAGACGGTAAAGATCTCAGGTTGTCTAGCTTTGAAATTTGAATCTCTTACATTGCTTTCTTATGTCCTGTTTTGGTCTGTTTTGTTGTGTTTGATTTTACCCATTTTAAAATTAAAATAAAGAAAAGAAGAGCTATGTTCCATTAAATAGTAACTGAGAACAGGAAAGGCCCTCATTAGCACATGATGGTTTACATGGCAGTCACTTGAGGGGGAAGCACAAAGTGCTGTGCTGACTTTTGTTACTTCTCTTTACCAACAGTTCAAAATGTAGGGTAGAATTATGCAGTCTCTACTATAAACACAGGAATGGATAGTCAGTTTAACACTCAAGCTATTGATATAGTTAATATGTGTCATACTTCTTTAATAATAATAAGTGTATGCCCCACATATGTCTAAAAGAAACCTAAGATGTAAAAAGCATAAATATATTAAAATATAGTACATTAGAACTATAATGAAAAGACTTAGGGAATGATATGGGAGGATTATTGTCTTGGTTACTTTTTACTCGTTGCTGAGACAAAATACCTGATGCCCAAGTTGGGAAAGGAAAGGTTTATTTTTTACAGTTTTTGGAGGTTTCAGTCCACACTCAGTCAGCTCCCAGGCAGGCGGGCATGGCTGGGCCGCAGTTCATGGCAGCCACAAACAGCAAGTTTGAACCAGCAAAGAGAAAGACACACCTTTTTCCTGCCATTACATTACATCCTGGCTCTACCCCTACGTGGGTGGAGCACTGACACCATCAATCCAAGCACTATACAATGAACCATCACAAATGAACAATGCAAACTCATGAGGCCTGGGGACACAAACATAAACCATGACAATTATAAATAAAAAAATTTGGAAAAAGATTAAGAAGGCAGATAACTTGTGCCAGACACCTTAAAAGTGTTATAACTTGGGCCCCGGTATAAAATCCAAGGAGGCAAGAGACCGAAAATTTAGGTGGCAAAGGCTTTATTTCCAGGCCTGGCGACCAGTCTCCGGGAGCCAATTTGGAGACTGTCCCCCAGAGACTGAAGGGAGGACTTTAAAAAGAGGCTGGAGGAAAAGGGTGGGGGGAGACAAAGAAACCTGCAGAGCCATCAAACTTGTTGACCTGAGTCTGGAAACTGTATTGCTGTCCACTTAGCTCTGACAATCTCCGGAGTTCCTGCTGTTTCTCAAATTACTCCCATCCTACAGACTGACATTATCTCGGAGTGGCACGTCTGCAGCAATGTTTGGAGAAGAAAGTGGGGAAGTTAATTATCCCAGGACAGCTCGTCTTCGCTAGTGAGTGCAAAGGGGTCATGAGTTATGAGATGCTGGAACTTAAGTTTTACAAAAGATCTGATATTTAACTCATTTGATACATACAGAACAAAAGGAAAGCACCGATCGGGGTTTGGGCCATAGTATTACCCGGTAATTTCTTTAAGCTAAGCAGTTCTTAAAATTAGGGCAGGCTCATTTTATGACAGATCATCACCGGGTCAGGGAGAGGTCACCAGAAACCCAAATTCTTTATGGCCTAGATAGATAGGTGAGGGGAGAGGGAGGCAATAAGGTGTCATACAGAACAGAAAATGGCGGTTATGTGTCAAGGTCAGGGTAAAGGGTTAAACTCATACGCAAATCTCTCTGCACACAAGCAGGTTACTTTAAACAAATGTAAATTAATTGGCCATTCTGGTTTTCTTTAGCTCTTTATCGGAGAATAGAGGCTCCTAAATGTGATTAACAACCCTTGTTAGCTTGTTTTAGCACAACTTCTGTAGTTCGTAGAGGGCAACAATGGTTAACATATCAATTAAGTGAGATTCTTGCAATTCTTTACAGAGGAGAGTATTGCTCAACATATCAATTAGGTCACTTAACATATCAGTTAGGGAAAAAGGATAAAACAAACACATTTAGTAAGCCACTTTACAGGTTTGCTATAATACACATATAACGAAGCTATTTTCTTAGAGTACAACATTCCCCACTGATTTTAGTCAGTGAGTCAAATCATTGACTCATTGGCGTCTGTTTATAACCTTGCATGTGTCTTTAAAATCATACGCTTTTAAGAACTTTGACATAGTTTATCAACTTGTTTACAACACAAGGCCCAATAGGAGGATTAACAAAGGTCTTGCAGCTGTCATTAAAGCTGTTAACCAAAAGGAGAAAGAAAACCAACATTTAAATTTACTCTGTTTTATCATACAACTAACAATTTTTTTAAGTCAGACAGAGGCCTCCTTGGGGTCTCTATAAAGGAGGAGAACACAAAATTATCAGTTATATTAGACAATCTTAAGCTTTAAAGTGTCCTTGGAAGAAATGACAGTTCACTTATCCACAGGCTGATGGTCTTTTGAAGCTGGGACCTGTCTGCAGTAGGAACGTTGAATCCAGGCAGGCTTTCAGCTACTTTGACTGTCCATTGTGGCTCAAGAGATTCACAGTGAGGTCGCTTGTCCAGGTGCCTAGGCTCTTTAGCTCGCAGTGGGCAGCAGCGAAATAACCAGTGGATGGAAGTCAGAGCTAGCTGAAAAGTCTGGGGGAGACTTAATAAGATCTTGATTAGTTAAATCAGCTAATTTTTAGAAACCTTTAAGGATAAGAGGAAGATCTCTCACATAAAACCTCAAAAGAGGGAATATCTGCAACATAGGGAGTGCATCATGCATGCAAAAGGGGCAAAAGGAAAAGAGACTCACCCAGTTTTTAAGGCCATTAGTAGACTTTAAAATCTGACTTATCTTTTTACTTCTCCTGAAATCTGAGGCTGGTAAGCCCAATTGAGTTTTCTAATTGATCTGCAAAGCTTAGGTTAATTTGAGTTACCAGGCTATAAAAGCCAGGCCATTGTCGGAGCCCATGGATAAAAAGGGAGACCAAATCAGGGAAACTGCTATCAGAGCTGACTCAGACTAAGTAGAAAACACTTATATCCTTGAAGTTCAGGCCTTTTATTTTTGTAAAATCTATTTTCCAGTGTTTTTTAGGCATAGTCCCACGATAACCAGTGGTTTCTATTTGTTGCAGTACTTTTGGATTTACCAATTGGCACTGAGGGCATCTGAAGCTCACAGACTGGGCTAGCTTGATATTAGCCCTCGGGGATCTCTCAGAAGTTGAGCTACCAGATGCTGGTCTTTTTCAAGTGCAAATGGGCTCTGACAAAGAAAATAGGTGGGATCAGCAGTAATGTCAAGCTTATCTCAATCCCCACTGATTTTGGGGCTTTCTGGCTGTCTTTTGGAAGGTGGCATTTGCCAAATTATTTTTTCCTATAACAAGATCATCTTCTGCCCAATGGCTAATACAGCAGATAAATAGCCACTCTCCTTGGCATCTAGATGGCAGCCAACAAGTCCAAATTTGGGGAGCAATTTTAATCTTTTGGCCCCAGAAGACAATAAACACCATTTTTGATAAAGACAACTTGAGGCCTCAGTGTGGGCAATGAGTTTAGCCCACTATGTTGATGTCTCTGACTCTAAGATTTGTTCCCATAGAACCTGAGATTTTGTGTAATGGCAGCTCCCACAACCCGCTTACCTTGATAGACATAGCTGCTTCCATCAGAGAAGTAGGATGGAACTCTAGATAGTAGCTTATCCACTAGATAAGGTCAGAGTCCCATGAGGTGATCAATCCTCAGTACAATTGTGGTGAGGCAACGAGGGGTCATCCTCAGGCAGCAAAGTAGCCAGAGTTTGAAGCTGCTGTTTCCAGAAATAGTGCCTGATAATGTATGGCTCAGGAATTAGACATCCATCAGTGTGGTGGGGCCTTGATGAGAGTCTCCAGCGAATGGGAGGAAACAATTAAGAGTTTGTGTCCAAAAGTCAATTTTTAAGCCTCCTTTATGAGGGGGCCACTGAGGAAATCACCGCAGACAGGGTGGCCATCTGACTGCCATAGAACCAAGTCTCTTGGAAAGGTAGGCAACAGGCCTCTGCCAGGGTCCCAAACTCTGGATCAGTCCTGTGGCTCCTAGAAATTTTGCACTTGTCTTTTAGTCACAGGGGCTGGAATCTGTTAGATGGCTCACAACAACCAGTGCAGTCTTTCTTTGTGTAGGCTGGTCCTAACAAGGTCGGTGGGACTCGCATCAGAGCAGTCACTTTCTTGGCTGGCCCCTCTGATGTGATTGCTACTCTTTGAGTGGCCTGATCTGCCAAATTGTTTCCTCAGGTAAATAGCAGCAGTCTGCTGACAGCCAGACTGCTACCAGCAAATCTAGGATTTGTGGAGCCCTTTTTTTTTTTAATCTTAGCTCTGGCCGAGGTTAAGAGACCTCACTCTTAATAGATGGCTCCATGTACATGTATAGTAGCAAAAGCATATCTACTATCAGTATAGATGTTTACCCTCTTTCCTGTGGCTAGTTTTAGTACCTCAGTCAAAGCAATGAGCTCTGCCTTTTGGGCAGAGATGCCAGGCTCTAACCGCTTAACCCAGAGTACCTCCTTTTGGTGGTCACTGCTGCCCCGGCCACTCATCTGCCTCTGCCGTTCTGGATGAAGCTGCTTCCATCTGTGAAATTTCTCAGGTCGTTGTCAGGCATAAGGGTGGCTGGGTTTAAAGCTGAAGAAGTCTTGAAAACTACCAATTCTGGGTCTAGGAGCAGGTCCTAATAGTGTGAGATTCTAGCACTCACATTTTCGGGAGGGGTTTTGATAAGAGTCTCTAAACTGTGGGAGGTCACTACAGAAATCTTCTGCCCAAAAGTGAGTTTCTTAGCCTGTTTTAAGTAGCATTGCCACAGCGGCCAGAATTTTTAGGCATGGAGGCCACCCTCTTGCTACTGGATCGAGCCTTTTGGAAAGATAAGCTATAGGCCTCTTCCAAGGGCCAATGTCCTGGGTTAGGACTCCTTTGGCAATGCCCCTGAGTTTATCTATGAACAAGGTGAATGGCTTGGTAACATCAGGGAGTCCCAGGGCTGGGGCCTCTGTCAAGGCCCACTTGAGCTGCTGTAAGGTCTGTTCACATTTATCAGTCCAGTTTAGTGAGTTTTTCCCTTAACGGAGCCATATAGGGGTGAGCTGTTTCAGTAAAATTTAGAATCCACAGCCTGGAATATCCAACAGCTTCCAGAAATTTGCGCACCTGTTTTTTAGTTTCAGGGAATGGGATCTGCAATATAGCCTGGACACTTTCTTTAGACAAAATCACCCCCTTTTTTTTTTTCGCAATTTGTAGCCCAGATGAGTCACAGCCTGACGGCACAATTGGGCCCTTTTAGCCGAGACTTTATAGCCTAGTTGCCCCAAAGTCCTTAACAGTTCCTCAGTTGTCTCTCGACAAGCTTACAAGCTTCTGTGGGGGTTGAGGCTATTAACAAGTCATCCATGAACTGGAAGAGCACTATCTCAGGGTGTTTATTTCTAAATTCTAAAAGATCTCTTGCTAATGTCTCGTCAAAAAGAGTGGGAGAGTTCTTGTAACCCTGAGGCAAACATGTCCGGGTCAGCTGTTTTATTACCCCTGTATCTGGGTCAGTCCATTCAAAGGCAAAAAGGAGTTGACTCACCAGAGTAAGAGGCAAAGTGAAGAAAGCATCTTTCAGGTCCAGAACAGAGTACCAGGTGATCTCAGGATTTGGCACTGTTGGGTATAGACTCAGAACTCGTCTATTAACCTCTCTGAGATCCTGTACAGGGCAATAGTTATTTGTCCCTGGCTTCAGTGACTGGAAGCAAGGGCATGTTCCACGGAGAGACGCAAGGAATGAGAATATCATTGCCTCTTAGCCTCTGCATGTGGACTTTAAATCCCTTTCCGGGCCTGCGGGCTTATCGGGTATTGCCACAAGCAGACGGGGCATGCTTGGGGTAAGAATTTTACCACAAGGGGAACCTGGTTAATTGCTAGCCTTGGAGGATTGTCTTCTGCCCAGACTTCTGGAATCTCCTGTTTCCATTTGTTCAACAGTTTTAACTCTAAGTCAGTTGTGGCGACTCAGGTACGCTGGACAAATTTTTCAGTAGATGGTAATTTTTCCCTGTTTTAAAGGACCTTTTGTGCTATCTCTATCAACTGGCTGAGGGGCATTTTCTCAAAACTCTCAAACCTTTGTAATCTTTTTTCTAACATGTGGGGCCGACTGAGTTGCAAAGAGAACAACTGGCGATACTAGGGAAACCTCCTTACCTCTGGATATCCAATCGAGGTGGGACAAAGGGAAAACATGGTTTTGGCATTCCAGATCAGAGAGCAGGCTTTTTCTGGATGGCACACCACCTGTTGTCCCAGGGTGCCACGTGGCAGGCCATCATTTTACTGAAATTACATACTTAACAAAAAGAAACTTTTTCATAGGTAACAAAATTGTGCCATATAATCTCCCAGATGTCCACAGCACATGCAAGAACTTATATCTCATCTCTATTATCATAATCTCATACTAATGGAAACACTTTGCAGCAAAGGTTTAGAATCTTATAAATAAATCTATCAAAACTGATCTAATACTGTCAAATTTTGAACACATTTACTTCTTGTCAAACCTGTAATATACTGTGGCAGGCGGATTTGCAGGTGAATCCATTCATTATCTATCTTGGGAAAATGATGTAAGCTTGTTGAGCCTGGAAACTGGGGGACAATAATAGCATCATCACTTAGGGTTGTTGTTTCATTAAATGAAAAAGCATGGTAAGTACTTAGCAAAGAGCACATGAGAGATTGTTACTCTGGTTATTTCTTTTCCTTATATAGAGAAAGGTGATGGTGAAGTAGATATGCTGAGTCCTTGTCAGATTTAGAAATCTGTGAGCAAAATGTTCTAGTTAGACAAGATGGTTCTTCATGGTGGTAAAGCGGGGATGCTTACTAATGGGGAGTTGAAGGAGGGAAAAGGAAAGACCAACAAGTTGTTTTAATCTTCTTCTAGCACAGTTTATGGAGGATGTACTCTTCTTGAAGCACTATCAGTGGTTTATAGAGTTATAGATTCAGTGATATTTTCCTGAGGAAGGAAGGGTTTCTTATAAGTGATCTTGTAATTTGTAAAACTATCCTAATCTCAGGGAGGTTCTGAGAGCCCTCAGAATTGTGCTTCCCTCTTTCCCACTTCCAATCTTGAGAATCACTGGAACACACCAGGAAATACACTGCTTGACATCTGTATGGAAGATGAGTGAAACTGATTGATTGCAACAGTGGCTCTAAAAATGTGGGCCTGGACTCCCTGAGGGAGAACTTATTAGAAATGAACATATTAACCCTGTGAAAATGTGTAGAAGAGTAAGAACTAGAAAACCAAACTGAATCAGAAAAGTGAAATTCAAGAACGACAATGCCAAGACAATTACTGAATAGCATACAGTATTTTTCATTCCCTGATTTATCCAAAACCACATCCAGCCTCCCCAATGAACTAAGGAGTAGATTTGATGGTTCCCCATCTAGGTAGAATTTCTGATTCTGAGCAGTGCATTTTCTGACTTTTCTGAGGAATGGAAATGGAAATTTTGAGAAGGATATAACTTCTTGGGTTGTTTTTTAGTGACCTATGGAATGACAAGCTCCAGTGCCTACTACTACACCAAAGCGATGTCTCAGCTCTTCTTGCATACTCCATCAGACACTGGAGTCTCCTTTCAGGCCATCAGCAACATGGAAGACTTCTGGGAAGTGAGTATGAGATTTCTGCCACTCCTCCTCTTTATTAATGGCCTGAAACCACAGACCAGAGCTATGGCCACGTCAAAGGGTCAAGTTGAATTAATGGGTTGAGCTAGAATTCAGGTGAAGGTGGAGGAGTAATCAGGATGCTGATCAGTGAATCAAACCAGAAATTAGGTTATAACTGGAAATCAGAATGTAGGGTGACCTTCAAAGTAATTTTTCATTTCCTTTTGTTTTGTTTTCCTTTGGTTTGGTTAGGTTTTAGTTTTCCAAAACAGGGTCTTATTATCTAATTCAGGCTGGCCTTTAGCTCATGGCAATCTTCTTGCCTCAGCTTCTTGAGTTCTGGAATTATAGGCACGTGCAACTCTGACCAGCCACAAAGTAAATTTTAAATGTGTGAGGTCAAAGTCCATGAGTCAGTTGAGAAGTTGAACAAAAATGGACAGGAGATAAGTTGGCAGTCACAGGGTAAGTGTGAATGTCATTCTAAGGTTAGGGGTCAAGAGGAACCTGGGTCAGAACCAACCCAGCTTTTGGTCCAGTTTGCCCAGGGCCCACTTCTGGACAGTTTGTACTGGACCAAGTGGTACAACAATCAGAGCCTGGGCCATGGCTCCCACTCCTTCATCTACTACGAGAATCTGCTGCTGGGTGCCCCAAGACTGCGGCAGTTGCGAGTCCGCAATGACTCCTGTGTGGTGCACGAGGACTTCCGTGAGGATATTTTGAGTTGCTACGATGTCTACTCTACAGACAAAGAAGAACAGCTCCCCTTTGGTCCCCTCAATGGCACAGCGTGAGTGTGTTTCTCATCAAGGTCATAGGGCTGCCCCTCTGAGTCTTCCAGCATCCCAAAATGGAGGAAACCATTTCCACTGAAGCACAAAAAGCCTTGAGGGTGGGCATTTCAGAGGGCAATTCCCTGAGTTCAACTGTGATTCTTAAGACACCTTGGTATATATCACACAAGAATAGGCTAGGCAGAGCCATCGACTCTGAACCTGTTCCCACACACAGATCATTATCCCACTTCCCTTCAGGAAGTTCTCCCAGAAGAGAATGAAAGAAGCTGACCTTGCTGTATGACTCATGTTTGAAAAATCTGAACCTTGGGACTGATGGAGGAAGCAGCCAAAGGCTGAGGGTGGATGAGGGAAGAAAGGAAAAAGTCTGGACAAAGGAAAGAAACAGGAAGAAATAGGGGTCCAGAATAAAATATTGGCAGGGGAACTACAACAGAGAATTATGGGATCAACAGGCCAGTTTCACAACTATGAGAGTAGAATGATCTTTTCTGGATATACAGTGCAAATGCTTCCTTTCTAGGGAACTACTTGAATTTGGGCCAGAAGCTTGACTTTATTATCCATAGCTTTGAGCAATATGCTGAAAGATGAGACTTACAATTTGAGTTTCAGTACTATCACTATGTAGCTGCATCTCAGTTTTCTCTTTTGTACAATGTAGACATATTTTCAAACAGTTGTATCAAACAAAATAATATATGTGAGATATATGTAATGTTTATATTACATATGTATCTCATGTAATACATATCTCACATGTAGTATGAGAGATATTCCACATATAGTATATGTGTATAAATATCATTTATAATATATACATATATATCCATAGTGTCACTACATATGTAAACACTGTGTATATAGGAGCATGATATTTGTGACACTGTGATCACTCAGATGATCGTAAAGTGTTGCCATCATCTTTGCAGATGAGCTTTTGGATTGGCTTGAACCTTGCTCTGCTCAGATGGATTTTTCTGTGGCAGGTGGACATACCATTCACAGGATGAGCTGGGGGGATCCTCCCACTGGGGCAGGCTCACAAGCTACGGTGGAGGCGGTTACTTTCTAGACTTGCCAGGATCCCAACAGGCCAGTGCAGAGGCACTCCGAGACCTTCAGAAGGGGCTCTGGCTGGATAGAGGCACTCGTGTGGTCTTCATTGACTTCTCAGTCTACAATGCCAACATCAATTTTTTCTGTGTTCTAAGGTGGGCCTCTTTCCCTAATGTATCCCTCCAGCTGTGGTTCCTGGTGCTTGTCTGTTGTGTTTGAGAAGTCTTTCCCCAAACTTGTACCATGTGGTAGAAGTCAGGAAGAGAGGAAGTGGAAGGTATTGTCCCAGGCCCCACTAGCCACTTGCCTGCCTACAGGCTAGTGGTGGAGTTCCCGGCCACAGGAGGTGCCATCCCATCCTGGCAAATCCGAACAGTGAAGTTGATCCGCTATGTCAGCAACTGGGACTTCTTCATCGTTGGCTGTGAGATTGTTTTCTGTATCTTCATCTTCTACTATGGGGTTGAAGAGATCCTGGAGCTCCACATGCACCGGCTTTACTACCTTACCAGCATCTGGAACATACTGGATCTGGTGGTCATCTTGGTGAGAGACAAATACCTTGAATTTGGGACACAGAGAGATGAGGAGGAGGGCTTAGTCGGGGCTTAGTTACCTTAGTAGGGGCTTCAAGTTCTTCCTTTCAGAGCTACCAGCTCCTTAATTTTACTCAAATCACTGTGCCATAACTGCCTGAGCAGGAGGTCGATGCTCTGCAGACTCACCATTAGGAAATCCTGCCTTGATCATTTCATCTCCTCCTCACCTGTGATTTGTGCCCTAGTTTATATGCCTTTAATATTCTTCTCTCTTCTGTTTCTTGTCTACATGACCTTAAAAATAAAGTGTCTTGCTTTTTCCCTTGTGTCTTTTTTCAAGTGTTCAGTCCCTTCATCTTCATCTCCCCTCCATTAAGAGGACACATTGATTTCTTGACCTACGTGTAGAAGTGGGGGGAACAAGGAGTCATGTTTCTCAGCTCTAGTTCCTTATGACTCTTTCCATCCTATACACCTCCTACTGATCCTGAGCCTTCTCAGGGGCTTTAGAACACTTCAGCTGCTCCCCAGTCATCCTGTGCCATTCCACTGGAACCTGAGCTATTGAACTCATTAGCAAGAAGGAAGTTTCTTATGCAAATGTCTTTCCTACTCCAGCTCTCCCCAGAGACCTCAAATTTTAACTTCCATTGAGATTTCATTGACTTCTCTAACAGCCCCATGACCTCTTTTTGACAGCTCTCCATTGTGGCAGTGGGCTTCCACATATTCCGAACCCTGGAGGTAAATCGGCTAATGGGAAAGCTCTTGGAGAAACCAAACACTTATGCTGACTTTGAGTTCCTGGCCTTTTGGCAAACTCAGTACAACAACATGAATGCTGTCAACCTCTTCTTTGCGTGGATCAAGGTATCTGCGACTCTCCATGACAGTTTGGCCTCAGGGCACTCGTCCCTTCTTTAATATCTGTCTGATTTCTGGTTTGATATTTTCTATGACCTCCATTTATCCTTGGAGTGGATTTCTCAGTACTTTTCACTTTTTCTCTTTCACCACTTGGTTTACCTTGCAGATATTCAAGTACATCAGCTTCAACAAAACCATGATGCAGCTCTCCTCTACACTGGCCCGCTGTGCCAAGGACATACTGGGCTTTGCCATCATGTTCTTCATTGTTTTCTTTGCTTATGCCCAGCTTGGTTACCTGCTTTTTGGAACACAAGTGGAAAACTTCAGCACTTTTGTTAAGTGCATGTGTGTGCCCTTTCCCCTCATTCTTACCTTCCCAGGATTTGTGTAACCTTGGGGAAGATGGATGGGGAGGTGCATGTGCATGTCTGTACTTAAAGAATCTGGGTGAGAATATCTGGAAGCTCAGGTATGTGCTCAAATAATTTATTTACCTGCTCTGTTGCCATCAGACTGGGTCAGAAGTGAAATGGGAGTTACATTCAAAGTTAGGAAAGTAGGATAGGGGTATGGAATAGGGCCAAGATTTGGTTTGGCTCTGGATAAAGCCTAGATCTGATCTCTCAGTTATTTTTAGTTTTACTCAGTTCCGGATAATCCTCGGGGACTTTGACTACAATGCTATCGACAATGCCAACCGCATCCTAGGTCCTGTCTACTTTGCGACCTACGTCTTCTTCGTCTTCTTCATTCTTCTGGTAAGGTACTTCTGAGGGCTAGCAACATAGAGGGTCTCAAGAGTAGAATTTTGGCCGTTTAGGATTATGATGGGGTTAGCAAATCAAGGAGAGGGACAGGCAGTGTATATGTTGGGGGCAGGTATTACTTTGGGTTTTCAGAGAGCTGACTAATGTAGTCAGCTTGGTCAGCATAGTAAAGTGTTCTGCAGAATATAAGGGAAACTGGTGACTCTCTCAAAAAAATCAAATGCCTATCCTCCAAGAATGGGAAGAGGGAGAAAACTACCTCAGAAGAAGAGGTAGCTGCCTCTAGAATCTTTTATGCTTATTCTCTAAGACAAGATATCTATTCCTCTGGGGCATCTTGCTATTTCTACTGCCACTGCTTGATAGTTCTATCTATCCGTCTATCTATCTATCTATTTGATTTTTATTAACATGGCCAGGAAGTTTCTTTATTTTATTGGTGAATGAGGATACAAACACAGATGGGAGACAGGTAACAAAGACAACACAACCATACAGTTGCCCTTGAAAACTTTCTACCTACTGTGAAAGGCAGACCCTTATATAAAGGTCAGTAGCTTATGTTAGGGTATTTCTGTTGTTAGTCCAACAATTTAAAATGACACCAGGTCAATGTTGAGAATATTGTTCCCTTTAGAACATGTGCCTGGGACATGGTGTGAGTGGGGTGAATGCTTTTATTGAATATGAGGGTAAAGTTTTAGGTCCCCTCTTTATTCTTTAGAACATGTTCCTGGCCATTATCAATGACACATACTCAGAGGTTAAGGAGGAGTTGGCTGGGCAGAAGGATAAGCTACAGCTCTCTGACCTGCTGAAACAGGTGACTACTCAGTCTTCTTGACTACATTTCTGCATCTATATCTGATTTTAAGGCTCTAATGCCATAGGCTGTTCTGACTGGTATAGAAGCGTATACTTGTATTTCTTCAACTTATCCCTAAAAGCCTGGCATCTTTTGGGTGGAGAAGAAGGCCAGGAATGATGAGGGGTCTATGAGGCTGCTGTTTCTCTCATTTGTCTTTCAGGGATACAACAAGACCCTATTAAGACTGCATCTAAGGAAGGATCAGGTGTCAGATATGCAGAAAGTCTTGCAGGATGGGAAGCAGGAGATCCAGTTTGAGGATTTTACCAACACATTAAAAGAGTGAGCAACCAGAGATCCAGCCTTCTTTGATATTGGCCTATAAGCTCTTGATCCTCAACTATACATGCCTATAAACCCTTAGTCTTGAAACTGTACCTATGACCTTGACTTATAGTCTTTTGACCTTGGCCAGAAGGTGTTTGACACCAACCTTCAAAATTGTATCTTTGCTTTAAACAGTATATGATAATATTTAATATATTAGTATATAATATAGCATTATATAATATATATAATATAGTATATAATAGTATATATAGTATATAATATATAATATATTAGTATATAACATTCTTGAGTTTAACAACTATTAGAATGAATCTAACAATATAGTATAATTCCCTTATTATTGAATACATGCTCCAATTTCTACAAAATATTGAACAAATGTATTTGTGAGACCTAGCCATGGGCAGGTGCTGAGTAGAGGACAAGGCAAAATAATTAAATGAGACCAAGTCTTTGTCCTCTAGGAGTTCATAGACATGTAAACAAATAAACCAAATCACAGGATAAATTAAAAAACTGAAGTGATTGACTTAAAGAAAGGGAGATGGGAGTAACACATTATCAATTCCTTGTGAGCTTCAGGGAAGGCTTTTTAGAAGAAGTAATGTCTGAATGGAGTCTTTAAAGATGAATATCTTACAAATAGAAAAACAAATAGAAGAAGGCCACTTCAAAAAGAAATCAAAGCATACACAAAGGCACACAGCACAAAAAGTAACAAATAGTTAAGAATTGCTAAGATATAAAATAAAAAATGGGTCATAACAGGAGATGAAGTCAGAGAAATGGGCAAGGACCATATTGGAAAAGTCCTCAATCTAAGGAACAGGCTTCCCAAGAGGAATTTTTAAGCACTGGACTTGCACTGTTTTTTAGCTTGTTTGTTTGAGATAGCATGTTGCCCAGGTTTGTCTCAAATTTGTGAACTCAAGTGATCCTTCCACCTCAGCTTTCTAACTGAAACTTTGGGTCACCATACCTAATTACTAGACCTGCATTTTAAAATGTTAGCTATATTATTCAGGACAGAGTGAAGGGGAAGCTGGGGAAGGGGTGGCAGGTTATTTAGAGGCAATGAGACATTGTCAGAATTCCTGTAGGAAATCATGAAACCTCAAATCCAATCAGCACAAATCAGGACAGGAAGAAGTGATAGATTTAAGTGATTTATTTGGGGTAAAATTTCTAGATTTTGGATATCCTGGCTTTCCCATATTGTCCTCTTTTTTTCCCAGAAAGCAAGACACAGAGGTCAAGACCCTTATGTTTTAGAAGTCTAGTAAAAAGGTGAGGAGTCCATAGTTGGAGCAATCACAGCTCCAAAAGGGCAGAAGTCATTTCTTTATCCTGTTCTTTTCAGACTGGGGCACACAGAGCATGAAATCACTGAGCTCACGGCTGCTTTCACTAGGTTTGACCAGGATGAGAATTGCATATTGGATGAGAAGGAGCAGGAAAAATTGCAACAGGATCTGGAGAAGGAGAGGGTGAGAAGCGCTGGTTGATGGGAAGAAAATGTAAGGATATTGTTCTCCGTCTTTCTCCCCAATATATCTGGAACACAAAGCCAAACTTAAAATCCTCCCATGGATGAACAGGAAGAAACTTTCTAGAATAGTGGCTCTCAAACTGATACATATTAAATATCCTGGGAAGCTTTTTAAAATCTTCATACTCAAGCCACACATTCTAGACCATTTTGATCAAAAACTGTGAAAGTGGGCTCCAGACATCAATACTTTCTAAAACTTTACAGGTGACTCCAATGCATATCCAAGATTTAGAGCTGTTTTTAAAAAATACAGTCTTAGGGGAAGGGATCAATTGTCCAAGAGTCCCTGAAAACTTTCTGTGAGGACTTTTCTTCTCTTTGGAATTTTCAAACTCCGACCCTCAGTTGTTCCTGCACTGCTTGCTCCATCCCTATCTAGTGTAGATCAAAAGAGTCAAGGGTAAAGTAACCACAGTGTAAAAAGAAGATGCCAAGAATTCTGGTACTGTCTCTCTTTTCCCAAACTGAGTTGGAGTCTAGGGAATACCTCATTAATCAGGTCTTCAAGGTGCTCATGTTTAGTTTCTTTGGGGAGTAACTCTTCCTCCTGAGGTGTGTCGTAGTGACCATATTGAGGCTGAAAGGGAAGGGGAACAGCAAGAACTTGAACCTCAAGTTTGGGTCTTGGGAACCCATTTGAACAGGTGTTGAAATAGGTGCTGATGGCTTCTCACAGTCATCTCCTCTCTCATGTTTGAGAGATCAGGTGGCCCTCAATGCTGAGATTGAGAACCTGAGCCAACCCATTGTGTGTGGCAAGCAGGCCTCAGAGGATGCCAGAGCAGGAGGCTGGGTTTCCAGAGAAGAATTCTACAGGTATGTGCAGCCAGAAGCACAAAACTGGCTGTGTTTAATACCCTATTTTAAACTTCCAATTCCCTGCCCTTGCCCAGGGAAAACTTCTATCTCCTTATGATTCTCTTTATGTCACTGGGCTTTACCTTCCATGTTCCTGTTCAGACACAAACTATTCTGTTATTCTTGTCCCTGTAAATACCTAGTGCCCTTTGCCCCTATATTGCTGCTTCCTTGGTCTCTCTCAAATCCCACACAGGTTTACAAAGAGAGTTCTGCAACTGGAGACCATTCTGGAAGGAGTCGTGTCCCAGACTGATTCTTTGGGCTCAGAGCTGAAGATCCTGGAGAAGAAGGGGCAGTTAACTCCATCCCTGGGAATGGTGAGTGGCCCTTCATTTGGGCCCCCTTAGTTCTCTACAGCTGAACTTTAGTCAGTTGGGCTTACAGGAATAAGAGCACTTTTGAAAGACTTATTATGCTTTCAGGGTCCTGGAGAACCAGATTCATAGAATTTACAATGTTGGTGGAAGTGAGTTGGGGAACGAAGGCCTCTTAAGTTTGGTTGCTCTGGCCTAATGGCTGCCTCAGTCTCCAGGAAAGGTTTGTCTTAGTCTGTTTGGGTTGATATCATAGACTGACAGGCTAATAAATCACAAAAATTTATTTCTCAGAGTTTTGGAGGCTGGAAAGTCTAAGAGCAAGGTGGTAGCAGATTTAATATTTAGGGAGATTCTTCCTAATTTATAGACAGCTGTCTTTCTTGATGAGTCCTCATACAGTATAGGGAAAAGAGAATTCTTTGATGATGGCAATAATCCCTTTCCTAAAGGCTCTACACTCATGACTTAATCACTAATAAAAGGCCTACCCTCCTAATACCATGACACTGGGAACATCAATATTGGACTCATGGCAGTTTGGGTTTTCTTGAATCAGATCCAGAGAAAGGGAAGTGGAACACAAACTCCTTCAAATGACCTATTTCTCTTTCTTTCAACAGGAGGAACAAGCCATTTGGAAACTCATGCAGCCAGCCCCAGCTGTAGCTCCATCCCTTTAGGGAGTTCCGGGTAGGCAGAAGAGTGGCAAAGGAGGAGTCCTAAAACTGGAAATTAGACTCTTTTCCCTCTCTGCCTCTTTCAAAGCCTCTCTCCATATGCCCTCTACTGGGTTCTCCTACCTTAGGGTCCACCATGGTCACTAGCGAGTCTTACCCTGTGTCTGGACTTTTGAGCCGATGTTTCTGCCTGTCAGCTGGGCATCATGCTTAAGCTTGTGAGTCAGTATTTCTTATGCAATAGTCCTGTAAAACATAATTCTGTAAAGTAACACTTCCCACTAGAGTTCTTATTCACTGTGCATTTAGTGAAAAAAATGCTGTTGTGTTAAAAATGTCAATAACAAACAAAATACAGGAAGGGAGAATAATGACTCATTAAGATCTTGACAGCCATGACTTATCAAGAAGGTAGAAGGCAACAGAGTAGACAATATCTAGATGTTTTCCTATTTACCAGTAAATTTTACACTTATTGTTTGTGTATCTGGAGACCCACTGTTACCACCTATAGGTTTCTTTTCTTCCCCCATAGAATTTCCCTGTAAAAGAGGAAAGTAACCCTTAGAGTCAGATTCCAACACTACAGATGAATTAAAGTGAAGCTCCATTTCCAGAAAAGTCTATAAAGATTCTTGAGGTGGAGGCTGTTCCAGGAATTTCACTAAATGCTAAGTACTGAGCAGGCTGTAACTCAGGAGACCAAAATGCAGCCTGAAAGGAATAATGCAAAGAAATGACCTCAAGATTCAGAGATCTTTGGACTAATATGTGGGGGGTTCTGATTAGTTTTTCATAGGACAACACAGTTTCCCAGGTGACTATCAATAAAACTGCTTCAAAAAACCAGGTGTTTGCATTTGCCTCTCGTTTTATAGACAAGAAAACAGTTGGGAACTGTGAGCTATCCATGTGCATGGGCTGAGGTGGGTTCATACTTTCTGGGAGGTATACACTGGGTATAGTGACATGAAGGAACTGGCTGCTACAGAAGCCCTGAAATAAGAACTTCTGGCCTATAACAATGTTTTTAGTTAGTAAGTACTATGATTGCTTCATAAGAATGAAGACAGGTGACCAGGGAAGAGTCGGCTTGAGGGACTAAAGGCGGGGGGGGGGGGGGGGGGTGGTAGTAGTGGTGAGAGTGTGTGCGCGCACGCGTGCACGTGTGTGTGCATGCAATTGGGGACAATCAGGAATAAGACAAGAAAATCCTACATCAAGATTCTGGATGTCCCAGAAGTGTGTCCTGAGACCGGCTCCTCCTGCCCCGTGGCTTTTATTGCTCCTGATTTTGCACCTTCAATTGCTCTACTTTTTTTCATTCAATTCCTTCACTCACTTGGGTTCCCTCTTTCCGTTAAATACTCTAAACACCAAAGCGATTTGTAGAACAACTAAATGTAAATAAAACAGCCAGAGTGTATCCTCAACCCTAAAAAGTCACAATCCAATAAAGATTGTTGGTGTCAGGCTGGAAAATAAGGAACAGGATCCAATCAGTTGGTGTTAACTCAGGACATTAATTAGGATCAGGAATCAAAGGCCAAAATCAGTTTCCCCACAGCTCATATAAGACTATACCTGGAAATCGTGGATTCCTAGAACAATCTTTTGTGACTAACACTAGCCAGGTCTCGGAGCGTTTGGGGGAGGTGTCAACCTGTTTCCAGGGATATCGGTCAACAGGACATTTGATGCTCAACTAACCCTAGCCGGGTGGTGGACAGTACAAGCCAATAAACCGCTGACAAGTAATCAGGGTCTGGCTGTCCCCAGAAAAGCCCATCGGTTCCAGACATCGTGACTCTGCAAGCGGATCGATAGGTTTCAGCATTTTAGATTCTATTTTGGCTTCTGGGCTTTTACTTTGTTAACAGTCGTTGTTTGTGGCTTCACTGAAATGAGACCCTCAGGATCCACACACTGAGTCGCGGGCCACGCAGAGAGGGCACATTGGTAAAAGCACTTCCAGTGCGCAGACCCAGCGCGCCCGCGCACACCTCCCAGACCCGGAAGCAGCTCCAGGCTAGTATGGCGGCAGCAGCTGAGGGCGTCCTGGCCTCGCGACAGGAGGAGTCGGCCCGAGGTATACCGGCACCGATGGAGATGACGTCCGGCAGAGAGCTGGATGAAGCCTGCGGGGCCAGTGTAGGGCTGGAGGGAGCGGGCAGAGAGGAGAGGCACGCCTGTCTCTGTCCTGCCCAGGCAGGTGGTTTAGCTGGAGAACAGCGTCTGAGCGTGGAGTCTGTGCGAGAGAGCAAAGTTGGCGGGTCAGACGGGCAAAGACGCAGTGAGGGACTTGAAATTATGGCAGATGGAGAGTGGAGCGTACTTGATCGAGTTGAGGACAGGCCGGGAGGGATGCAGAAAGAGGCTTCCTTGGCTGGATTGGACAGGGTATAGGGCAGAGCACTTACCCACTCTTCCTTGGCCCAGACGATGCCGCCGTTGAAACAGCCGAGGAAGCAAAGGAGCCCGCCGAGGCTGACATCACTGAGCTCTGCCGGGACATGTTCTCCAAAATGGCCACGTACCTGACTGGGGAACTGACGGGTGAGGCGCGGACTAGGTTGATTCAGGTAGTATGCCCGGCTGAGATCCGAGGAGATGCTTTAGCAGCTCCCTCCCCTTCCCCCCTTGCTGGTGAGCGGTCGGGGGAGGTTGTGAATGGGCGGGAGCCGCTTTCCTTCCTTGGAGAAGTTCGGACCCGGTTTTCAAAGACCGCAACCCGTCTCACACAGGCGTACTTCACACTACTGTGCAGACCCGTAGTACAACAGTGAGAGGGCAGGGGGGAGAATATGAGAGTATGAATTTAATACCTGGCAATATTAATCTAAAAGTACTTCTTGGGGGAGTTGTATTTTGAGCAGAGTTGTGAAGAGAACAAATGGTGAAAAGGGAGAAAGGATAGTTATTGGATGGGATGCAATATACAAAGAATTTATTTAGCTAAAGCAGATGTGTTTTCAGGGATGAAGAGAAATGAAATAGGGGAATGGGGCGTGACCTGCAGCTTTAGGTTGGTCTGAGGATTTGGTTTGGGGCATGGTTAGTTTCTGGTTGACTCAATTTGTACTTTCAGGTGCACATATGGCCTCTGTGTGGCAAGGAGTCAGAAAGTGGCCTGAGTTAGTGTGACTTCTTATAAACATTTAATGTATTGTTTCACTTCCCCAGGAAATTGCTGTGAACTAAAATTGTTAACAACTAATTTTATGAGAAAAGGTTTGGGAGCTTTTGGAGGTCCTGAGTTCCTAATTTACTAGGGTGGTTATTTGTTTATTTTGAACAAGAGAAACCAGCTAACAGAATCTAGGTTTTTCACTAAAAATTCCAAAGATTAGCTAATACTAATGTGCCATTTGTGTGCAGTTGTATTTAACTAGATTTGAGCATATGTCTTCTCAAAAAGTACTAGTATGATTCAATTTTCCCCAATACTCCCATTTTCTTCCCTTTACTGAAACCTATTGTTTGTTGTCAATTATCCCTATTCCCCTGATGTTATTTTTACTAGTTGTAGTACAGATATGTTTTCCTGTACCAGTATCTTTGTCAAAACTGGTAAAATGAGAGAATAGGAGGCCCACATGCTTCAAGACATGGGAGAGAAACATGGGAGAGAGCACTATCTTTGTTGACTTCTTCCTTATTTCAGAGAAACTATAACCTTATAGTAGTGAGGGTATTGACATGGAGAGAGACCAGAGATAGATGAGCAATAGTTTAGATAAAAAGCAGTGATGGTCTGAGGTAGAATGATGGTAAAAAGTATGGAAAGAGAGTGGGTGCAAGGATGTTACAGAAGTAAACTGTATAGTACTTGTTGAAGTATGCTCTGAGAAGCTTAAGATGTGTCTGAGATTTAGGTTGGAAAGGCAAGTGAAAGGAGATGATTGAAAAGAGTCTGACAAGGCAAAAGTTTTGGGTTCAAGAGCACAAGAGGAGGAGTTGTCTTGTCTTGCCTTGAATTATTGCTTGACATAATATTGCACATTACAGTGATCTAAGACAAATTTCTGTTTATTTTAAAGCCACCAGTGAAGACTATAAGCTCCTGGAAAACATGAATAAATTAACCAGCTTGAAGTATCTTGAAATGAAAGACATTGCTATAAACATTAGTAGAAACTTAAAGGATTTAAACCAGAAGTGTAAGTAACAATTTTTATAATTAAAGGTGTTTGTATTAAACGTCCTTTTGTCCTTGGGGCCAAAAAAAAGAGGAGGGTGTTGGTTGCTTTTCTCTCGCTGTGACACCCAAAGTTAAGGAAGGAAAGATTAATTTAGCTCATAGTTTGTGGAGATTTCAGTCTGTACTGGGCTGGCTCCAGGGCACATGGTAGAAGGCAACAGTTCATGGCAGCAGAAAACAGCAAAAGCAACAAGAGCAAAAGGGAGGAACATGGAGAGACTTTCTGTCCCTTTTATTGTATGTAGGCTGCTCACCCTACTGTGGGTGTAGCACTCACATCCATAATCCCAGCACTGGACCATGAATCATTCACAAACTCTTTAGAAACCTGTCCCATTGAGCATGAGGCTTTAAGGGGACATCCAGATGCAACCCATAACACATGGCATTCCTGTCTTCTGAGGACACCTTTTCTAAAAATGAATTACAAAATCAAGGTGAATTTCTTCCCTTCTGAAGATTAGCATACTTTGGTAGTATTTTTTTCTGCCACCAAATCTTGATTTTATCAGTTTAGTCCTGGGAGGATTGGAAGAAATGTAGCTAGATTCTAGTGAACTGATTTACAATGAAATTCATAAAGGACTACTCTTAAACAGAAAAACAAAATCTGTGAGTGGAAAAGACTAATTTAGAACATATTTAGATTTATTTTTTCCATTGATTTGTGCTACAGCAATGGTAGCAAAAGTATGGCATGCGTGCTGCAACAGGCTGTTTGTATCATTGAAAGCTCTAAAAGGCTTGCCATCACTGCACTGGACCATCCTTCCTAAGTATGACATTACCCAAGAAACAGAATCAGTAAAGAAAGGTTGAGGAACAAGTTTTCAAAAGAAGAAAATTAGTAAATGGAGAAAACTTACTTTGACTAGGTCACAGTGGTGCCTAGTTTTGAGTGATTGTCTTCTAAGAAGTCATCTGCCCTGCTAGCTGTGAAAATCATGTCACTGTAGCTAGTCTGAATCATAGCTGAAAAGACACTAGCATTCTTACTTTCTGTTCTTTTTTTTTATACTTGTTGAAAATATGTGAACATGTCATTTATCTTTAAAGATGCTGGACTTCAGCCTTACCTGGATCAGATTAATGTAATTGAAGAGCAAGTAGCAGCTCTTGAACAGGCAGCCTACAAGCTGGATGCATATTCAAAAAAACTGGGTAACCTTTTTTTGTTGTGCCATTTTGATTTCCCAGAGAGTCTATCTTGTTAGTGATGTGCTTAGTTAATGTAACATTTGTTGTGTGCATACACTGATCTATTAAAATCTAATAAATAATTATTATTAAAAACATTTCCCAAATACTTAATGACCTACTGGGCAGTATTAGTGTTTTGCATGCATTATGTTTATTTTTTCCTAGTAATTTGTGAGTTAAATATATAATATTTTTATTCCTATAGTATAGGGGAAGAAAATGTGGTTTAAGAGGCTAAGTAACTTCCTTAAGGACATAAAACCAGTAAAACACATGGAAGAACCATATTTTAAGTCAGGACTGTTTGATGACAATGCTCAAGCTTTAATTGTGATTCAGTACACTGAATCATCTATAATATATGTCTTTTTAAAATGGAATAGTCAGGGCCAGGGATTTAGCTCAGTGGCTCAAGCACTTACCTGGTAAGCGTGAGATTGTGAGTTCGATCCTTGGTACAAAAAAAAAAAAAAAAAGAGATAAATAAAATGGAATATTCAAAGACTTTTTTTTTTGAAGGATGACTCTAAGAAGAAAACAAGTACCTTCAGTGTTGCCAACTAGTTCTGACTGTTATATCCCTGGTGAAAGTAATGAATTTGCTTTTGTCCTATGCACATTACTTTATTTTCATCATTAACAGTTGGTGACTACTTCAAGTGATTTGTAGCAGGCTAAAATTTAATATCCATAATGAGAAGCATTCAGTTTCTTTGACTGCAGTTACATTTACTGCATGTTTACTGAACCTTATCATATAGAAGACATCTCACCATCCACTTTTTTTTTTTTTTTTTTTTTTTGAGACAAGGTCTCTATCTAGTACAGGCTGGCTTTGAACTCTCTATATCTTCCAGGCTGCCCTTGAACTTGCAATAATCCTCCTGCTTCAGCCTTCCAAGTGCTGGGCCTCCCTGTGCATTTGAAATTTTAAAAGGAAAAAAATTCACCCCAGCAAGAGTCTTATTTGATGGCCTTTAAAAATCTCTATATCTTTCCAAATTGCTTTCTTGGAGTGAAATGCAAGGATAAGGACATAAAAGGGGAAATTTACATCTATTCATTGTGTATTGCAGTCTAATTCCAGAAAGCATCTCGGATTGCCTGACAAGGCAATTTCTGGTATTTAGTAACACTTCAGATGGATCCAGTACCAGGAAATATGCTCAATTCTAGTGAAGCTTTTCAAGCAGGTGCAATATTGACATGTTTAGAACTTAATGACCTTGTTTTGGTTCTGGGTATATACATTTGACTCCTAAATTTCAGGTTGTACAGACCAATGATGTATATAGGTGATGAAGGTGATGAAGCTTAAGCTAAAAGATTTTTACAAATGTAATATGCATATCTGAATTTGTTTGGAAATAATAAAAGTATCTTTGTGACAGTTAATTAAAAGATGTAATGGTCTCCTTTTCTCCATGCAGAAGCCAAGTATAAGAAGCTGGAGAAGCGGTGAAAAACTATTCCTATAGCATAAAGCCTTTTTTAATGCGGAAGAATGTTTTATAGCATCTGAATCCTGAGGCTGATGAAATGTCAAAGTCCTCAAAAGGAAACCTTGCTGGTCATCCCAGGAATATCCCAATGTTGAAAAACCTGAGGACTTGGGTACTCTTGGACCTTCTTTGAGGCAACATCTGGCAGAAATTCACACAACTCCTTGTTACTTGAATCCTTCCTCATCTATTCAAGACAGAGGTCTCTCAAAGTTCAGGATTAAACCTGGGCTTATCAGTAGAATTGAATGAGAGCACCTGTTTTCTCTGGCAGTGGTTGATAATTGTTTTCTTAAGTGGCTGGTTTTTGAGTTACTGTGTAAATGTTTTTTTTTTTTTAATTAAAAATGCTCATGTTATTAACAAGATTCTAAATTAAAAAGGAAAGCAAAATAGATGTGATTTTTATAGTCTGTTCACCTTTTGAATGTCAGTAATTTACTTTCCATAACATTGCAAACACCAAAATGTAAAAAAAAACAATTCTAAAAGGAATGTTTTGATAGCTTGGTATCAATGGCATGGGCCACTCTTGTTTCTTTTCTGTGTGAGTCAAATGTCTCAGTGGGATGATGTCTTGACATGTGGTCTTGGTTTTTTTTTTTTTTTTTTTTTTTTTTTTGTCTTTTTGTGACAGGGTCTTGCTGTGCATTTCTGGCTGGCCTTGAACTCACTTTGTAGTCCAGGCTGGTCTCAAACTCAACGATCCTGTTGCCTCAGCCTCCAAAATGCTGTGATCACAGGCATGTGCCGCCACTCCTGGCAGCATGTGTTCTTTTTGAAATGTGATAAAACCAGAAACAATACACACCTGTAATCCCTGCACTTGGAGGCTGAGATGGTACCACCAGTTTGAGGCTACTCTAGGCTACTTAGTGTCCAAGGTGATCCTGGAATATATAGCAAGAACTCCCCCTCAAAATGTGATAAAGACAAGACAGTGCACATTTTGGTTATGCAAATGAGGGCCTCCATGAAATAAAATATTTTTAAATGTTTCATACTTGTGTCTGTGAGGGTAGGGAGCTTCTTGGAAACTGATGGTCATCTTTTTACACTAATGATATGGGACGATAAAGTTAGGGTTAGATAAAGTTATTGAGTGAGCAGTTTGGAAGAGAAGTATACAATTCCATTTCCAAAAGAGTTGTCTTTTCCCACTGTGTCTATTCCAGACCCTCCAACACTTGTGCTTTGCTCCTTTGAATGCCATAGTCCCTTCTCAGCTGTCCTAACCCATCTCCCACACTGCTGCCACAGCAATCTTTCTAAACTGAACTAGCCACAGTACTGCTGTTTAGAAATCTTTTGTGACTTTTCAGAGCTTCTGAAAAGGCCAGACTTCTTACTGTCTTTATATATACAAGGCCTCTACTTAAAAAAAAATTCCATTTCTTATTCCTGTATTTATAGTATGTTCAACTATCTTTAGCTACTTTTAAGTTTTCACAGAGAAGTATTCATAAACATTAGAATAGATCTGGATATACAGGACATTTGCAAAATGCAGAATTCCATAGGCATGTTTTCATATCTTATGTTATTTTCTCTCATCTTGGATTTATTACCTGAATATATTTGGCAGTTTTGAGTGCCATTTCTTGGCAGTGGTTACATAAACCAAAGTAGGAAAAAATGCATGGTTGGTGTGCTAGTAAAGAAGGGCACATCCACTTTAAGATGTAAAGAATTAGTATTTTCCCCAAAAGCACTGCACAAATTGTGGGGAAAACCCACAAAAGCTTTGGGATTGTTGCTTAAACTTGTATTTAATTTTGACTTAATTGGATATCCATCCGTCAGAAACTCCTTTTTTTCAATTTCCTCATTTTTCACTTTGTCTCCAAATATCCTGTACTCCTCAGAAAAGTTAGGGTTAAAAAAAAAATGTTGGTAGGTTTTGTTGATTTAAGAGACTAGATATAGAGACAGATGAAAGTATAAAACCAGATTGATTCTTCAGTGAAAACAAACCCTACATATAAAGTCAACTTGGGGGAGGACAACTGGAGAACTTAAAATATGGATGTGTATTAAGCGACATTATTGAATTAATGTTAATTTTCTTAGGTGTTAACGGTATTGTGGTTATGAAGAACGATGATGTTACTCTAATATTTTTGTTCTGGTACTGGGGTTTGAAGCCAGAGTCCTGATCCTAAATTGTCCAGGCAGGGTTCGAATTTAGGATTCTCCTGTTTCAACTTTCTAGAGCTGGGATTACAGACACACACCAGTGCAAACAGGTATTGACCTTATTCTTAAAAGAATGATTATGAGTTATTACTGGTATCTGCACTTTCAAAAGACTCAACGAAAAAATGCTTGGGGATCTTGAGAGAAGAAGAGCGTGCACAAGTTTGACAACGTGCAGACACCGAATCAAGGTGAAGGGCGTTGCTCTTAAATATATGTAGGTTTAAAACTTTGTTTTTAAACAAAGTGAATGAAGTGGATCAAGCAAGCTCATTAAACCAATATGGTTAGGTTAGGTTTGGGCTGAACATTGTACCGGGAAATTACTTGTAGATGACAAACTTCAATTGGTTAGGGTGGTGGTGGGTTGTTGTTTTTTGTTTTGTTTTTTATCGGAAGTCGTACTCACGATCTCGCTCTTGCTAGGCGCAGTGACGCTACGCTTTATCCTCGTCCATTAGGGGTGGTAGTGGTATTCTTTTGGTCATTCCCTCTTCCTCCCTTTACCCCTTACCGTTCTTGTTTCTGCTCAAGGCGAAACTTTCTATAACATTTCTGTGCCTCGGCGCTCTCCGTAGATATTGGACTCTTATTGGCTAAGGTGCGCAGAGGTCTTTTTGTAGCGCAGTGGCTTTTTCCTGGGAGTGTGGGCTCGGGTTCCGGATTGTAAGTGGTTGCCCCAGCCGAGGATACTGGAACTAATGGCTCAGAAGCCTCTACGCCTGTAAGTGACCCTGAATCGGAAGTGCGTGTGCGCGCGTGCGCTCGTGTAAAGAGAGGAGGGGTCCAGGGGTCGCCGAAAATGCTTGGAAACTGGTCAAATGTTCGCTTGGCTGGAGTCGGTCTCTTGCAAGCAGTTTTCGCCTTCGAGCAGGGATTTTCGGCAACACTCACTGGAAGAGGCGTAAGCTTCCGGAATCAGGGCTCTTTTGTCTTGTGCCTTCCTGGCCTGTGACATCATCTCCTTTTCATTTCTCCTCTCACACCATTTATTAGCCAAATGTTTCTACACTTGGAGCACGCTGATGGGCCCTTGGCTGTGAGAGAAACGGTAGAGAGTAGCTTTGCCCTGGCGCACTTGGGATGGGGTGGGGGAGGTAAGTGAAGGGGAGGATGGCGAAGAGAACTTCGTTCTTTCAGCAAGTATTTATTGAATAACTGCTGTGTGTTAGGTGCAGTGCTAGGCGTTGCACACATGGAGTTTCTGCTCCAGTGGAGCTTGTGGTGTAGAGGAACAAGTATTAACCAAAGAATATAGATAAACGATAAAATTACAAAAGTGCTACGGTAACATGGTTGTGGGAGGATGTATAGTAGTAGTATTTGGCTTAATGGTAGGAATCAGAGGAGGTGTCCTTGAGGAAATGAGGTTTAGGCCCTTTTAGATATTTTTGTCTTTAACGTAGAGAACTCATTAAAACGTTTATACTCCTCGACATGATTAGATTTTCGTTTTGGAAAGTGATTCTGGCTGCAGTGGGGAAATAATTCAGCAAAGCAGAGGACAGTTAGGATTAGATAGTGATGGCAGAGGAAACATTTAAGAATTGAAAATTTACTAAATGAAATCAGTAAGGCTGATTTGATTGAGAGTCAGTTGTTACTCATTTATAGATCTCTTTCTTCAGGAGGATAGGAAACACTGAAAAGGGGCCCAAATTAAAAAATATATATGTATGTATAAGTGTGTATGTGTATGTGTGGCACTGGGATCAAACCCAGGTCCTCACGTATGCTAGGCAAGCAGTGCACCATGGGGCTACATCCTTATCCTGTAGATAATAAATTTTGTGGTGCCTTATGATGTACAAACTGGACACTATATGTCCCAGAAGTAATTATAATTCCATATAACAGTTACTATGGAAGAAGTTTAGGATCCTGTGGGAGCATCAAGAGGTGTAACTAAATAGGGACTGGATGGTTCCCTAGAAGACTGGTACTCAGAAGATAAAAAGTTTTAACAGTTTATGACAGAATTTGTTCTGAGATTTTGAAAAGGGAGTGACTTCCTGAACTGGTCAAGAAACTGGGCCTTGAAGGATGGGAAAAAAATTTAGAATCAGAGTGGTAGGATGGGATTACTGGGAGAGCTAATATCTTCTAGGGAAGGCAGAGATAGAGTGATCAAATTGACGGTTTTGGAATGTTTCAGCATGGTCACACACTGATGATTACATGTTCTAGTATCTAGTGGAACCACAACAGTCTTGGTAACCGAAGTCATTTTCCCCCTATACAAGAACAACCAGATCAAATAGATCTGTAGTTGCTGCATGTTTTACTTCATGTCTAAATGCTGCATGTCAGTTTGGATTGAATACTGTGTTTGTGTATTTATGTTTTGATTCATAGTAACTTCTCATCTTATAGAATTGATTTGCATTGAAGCAAACTAAAGAAATGAATGGCTGAAAGAGCAAAAAAAAAAGTTAAGGAAATGGTATAAGAAGTAGGAAAATCATACAGATCAATATTAAGAGTCTCATGCTCAACCAGTGAGCTAGCCAGATGTCCCATAAATCAGAATTAGAAAAGCTCAGAAATGAGATGATAAATGATGTCACTTAACAACTTGGGGCTAGTTTGCCTTACCAATCTTGAGTCTTTACATATTACTTCCTGTTCCATATTCATGTCTCCCATTATAGCCCTAAACTTATCAGATTATCTTCCCTACCCTGATTGCAAACTTTTTGAGAATTTAAGAGTCTTCCTCCTGTTTATATTACTCATATGTTCTTAGCATTGTACTTGGAATGTTGCACTTAGCATAATGTAAGCGTCAGTATGTGCGTGCTGAATGAATGACTGAAACCCTTTACTAAGATAGAAACACTGGCAATAAGGAGAGAATGAATATGACAAATATTTGGGAAAACAGCTTGATGGAACTTGGTGACTAGATGGAGATTTCGGACTCTTGGTGACCAACCTATCCGTAAAACTTGGGAATGAGAAGAAGCTGGCTCCCTTATGAAGGAAGTAAAAACCTGAAGTTCAGATACAGTTAGTTGGAGGTGTTGATGAGACAGACCTTCAGTGGAGCTACTCAGTGATTAGTAATAGCTTACATGTACAAAACCTTGTAGTCAGAGAATGATCACCTATTTACCTAATCCAGAAAACTAGTACATGTATACCAAATCTGGCAGACCCTCTTGGTTTCCTGAATCACCATAATGTTTTTCCATTGTTTGC